GCCCCCCCCCCGCCCCCCCAGGCCGCACGCTGCTAAAAAGCAGCGGCACCCTGGGCACAGGGGCTCCCCGTTTGATCTCAGGATCAAATTTTCACATCTAGGACAGGCACGTAATCGGTGACCGCAACCCAGGCGACGAAGACATGGGATTAAGGAAAAGAGAAAACAAGTTCATCTGAAAGAAAAGCTGGGCCGGCGGCTTCCTCGGGAATCGGCAGCGAGGAGGCCAGGCTGCTGGGGAGAGTTTGTGACATAAGGTATAGATGTGCATACATAAACAGGTATGTATTGGTGTGGGGTGTTATATCACAAAAATATAGATCTCACGTAGCTGTTCTATATAATCACAAATAAGTTTTGTATCACAAATTCTACCTATACCCTTCCCCATGCCACCCCACCCCCCGTTTTTAGGAATTTGACATTTTCTGGGAATCGTAAAATCAAGCATAGGCAGTGCAGTAAGAAGGGAAATGGTACAAAACTGTATCCGATTAAATCCCACCAAGACCTTTGCCTGGATGTGCCGAGGAGACCGCTGCGTCTTTTTTCCTGTAAACTCTTGTGGCTTATCCATGAAGTGCAATCAAAGCTGTCAGGATCATGGAACCCCTTTAACTGGAATTTTACCGCCTGGGCAGGATCAGCTGGAACGAGCCTTTAATATTTATTCTTCCCAGACTGACCGCATCTCTTCGAGTTCTCTCTCACTTTCGGCATCCTGGAAATGCAGCAAGGGAACAGATAAACACACACCCTCATTGCAACGATTAAAAAAAAAAGAATTTCCCTTTTCTTCTCCAACCTACAGCAGGTTTTAAGGACACCCCCCCAGCCTTACATTTTCCCTCCAAATGCCTTTTTCCCCTCCCCTGTACCTCCCCTCCCCAACGCCACCGCCTTTGAAGACTGTTTAAGCTTTCCAAGAACCAAAGAGAGTTTCTTTCACGTTTCCCTTTGAGAGATGAGAACCAACAAGCCGAGCAGCAGAATTCAGACCTCTGCTCCCTCACCGACTTCCATGGCCTGGATAAACGCCTCTGGTTTTCCTTCTCAGCATGATGGAAGTTCTTTGATTGATGATGAGAACGAACATTTGCAAAGACTTAAAGCCACTTAAGCACTGGCTTCCTTACTCGACTCCCACTTTTCATTTCAGAGCAGGAGAGGGAATTAACTGTTCATGGACTTTCCTGCCTGCAGCGCTCGCCTAGCCCTTCCTGAAAATCTCCATGCGGTTCTGATTAAGCCCCCATGCCTCCCACATGTTATTTCTTGTTCTTTTGGAAAAAAATCCTCCTGCTGTTTATCAGACAGACCGTTCTGACTCTGTCTCGAGACGCTTCCCACCCGTGTACGCAGGTTTTAAGGACACTCAGGCAGAGCTGGAATAGTTCCCTCTGCAAGAAGGGAACCCGTTCTGCCCCAGGCCCTGCTTCCCCCAGCTCGGGCAGCAGCAGAGCCCAAGGGGTTTGTGCGAGAGGGGACAGAATCACAGAATCCCAGAACAGCAAGGGTTGGAAGGGACCTCAGGAGATCACCCAGTCCCACCCCCCTGCTAAAGCAGGTTCTCCTAGAGCATGTTACACAGGACTTCATCCAGGCGGGAGTTGACTATCTCCAGAGAAGGAGACTCCACAGCCCCCCTGGGCAGC